TACCCTGACCGTATGTGAATAAGCGGAAACTTCGTTTCCGCTAATTCCCAACGGATCAGGATATTATTATTACAAATCATTTATTTTTCACCCGAGTGAAATTTTCGTCCAACTTTTTGAAAATATGATTATTCTTATGCTTATTGATTTTATTAAAAGAGAAAGATTATATTTATTTTCTATGTAATGCATTGTCTTAAAATTTATAATTTAATCTTACGTCTTAATATCTATAGTCTTTATAAAAATATAATCTTAGTATTAATATCTACAAAGTCTTACAAAAATCTGCTATTATTGTTATATTTCTTAACTCAATATCGTTGGAAGCAAAGGAAAATCGTTCTATATATAAATCATAAATTGTAAATCGTTTGTTTTAAAAAGAAAATCAAATATATAAAAGAAAAATAATGTATTCACATATTTAAATATAGTGTACGATCAGTTTATAATAGAAGTCTAATAAAGTGTTTGTGTTTGAAAATTCTACAGCTTCTTAGAATTCGTGATTTTGATTTTTTAAATTACTTTGAATAAAGGTTAAAAGAATTACTGAATTCTTTTCCTGCTGTGTTGGATAAATACTTGTTAAAGAAACTCGTAATATTTGTAAAGTTTTTTGCAGGATTTTGTGATTCAGCTAAACATCTACGTAAGAAAAGATCTTGTGTTTCTTGTTTAATGTCTGTAAAAGAGTCAATTAAAATCTTTCCAATTTCATCCAATCGACTTTCAAAAAGGTGGAATATATCGAGAATAATACTATCATTTAATTGAAACCCTAAGTCAATTAATTCAGTAAGTCGTGCCTTGACAGTTTTAATATCAGGTTTAGTCCATTCTGGAGGTTGTGCTGGTGGGAAAAGCATTTGAAGAGCTCCTTGCATTACAAGGTCATTGAAGTCCTCACAAATTTCATAGTAACCGATTTTTTTCCATAAAAGTACAAGATCTTTACAGATCAAAATTGTCCGCGCAATTAAGTTAAGTTGCCTATTATTTTCATATCCTTCTTTTGGTGGAAATGGTATAAATTTCGTAATCAATATTAAATCCCTGATTTCATCTAAATTTTTTTCTAAAACAATTGGTACATAATTAATAATATAAGGACCTCCAGAAAGAAAATAAAAAAGTTCCATGTCATTTCCTTTTAAGTATAAGTAAGTATTGAATTGATATGAAGCCTCCGTTAATAAAAAGATATAAACGGAAATGGGCAAATTACTCGCCCATGGGATCATTTTTTGCTGCGAAGTCTTAATACTATCAATATCTGTTTGTCCTGCACTATGAACAATCTTTAATTCAACAAGCTTTCGGTCATAATTTCCATAGTGAATGAGAAGACGTTGTACAAAGTATCTCGAAAGAATTCCACCTTTAGTAATAATAGCACGAGCGACATCAACAGAGATAAATGTAGGTCCTAATCTAATAGCATAAAAAAGGCTATGAGCTCGCCCAAATTGATAAATAATCCATTCCGCCTTCGCTTGAGAATCTTTACATATAAAAGACCATCTTTTACAACTTACAATTAAATTCATAGGATTTTTAACATATTTAAAAACATATATCACAACTTCATTAGGTAGTTCATTTTGAAAGTAATTTCTTTTTTGAGGTCTTGTAATCATCTTTCTTTCGTGTTATCTAATATTTTAATAATAAAAGAGGTCACGTTAATACTGTGTGCGTGAATTATGTACGTAGTACAAACGTAAAGACGATCAGCTTGCACATTAGAATCTAATATTAACTATGATGCTGGCTGATTCCGAAAAATCGGATTATAGCCAAAATTTAGTAACATATAAATTATTATCTTGAAGAGATGATATTAGAACAATATCATTCACTGATTGGCACTTTCTTTTTAGAAGTTGTATCAATAAGTTCCAAAAATTATGTATAGTTTCTTTTATCATATGTGCACGAAATAATGAACCAGGACGTTATTTCGATATGCGTAATTTAAAAAGAACTAAAAATTAATTTAACTGAATATGAATAATAATTTTATGTTTCAAAAATCTTTATCTAAATAATTCTAGCTCTCTTTAAATTATGTCTTGAAATAACGCACCAGGCGTTATTTTGTGGAATATTGGTATAAAAATAAACTTGTAAAGATAATTTTGACTTAAATTCAAAAAATAACATCTTTATAAAAAAAAATATTCAAGTATGATCGACTTTATGTATCCTACGCGTTATATATTTATGCCTAAATGACCGTGCCTATACGTTATATCTTCATACCTAAATGATCGTGAAAGATCAATTTACTATCGTATCTGACGAATTTTATACTTTTACATAAAAACATGTGATTTTAATAGTATCATAATGGTATAAAGTTTTTTTTAAAAAAATAAATAAATATATTGTCAATAATTTTTCAACAAATGGTAAGGTATGAAAATAGGAGATAATGATTTATTTTATGCGGGGATCTCCGATTTAGAATAGTAATAAATAAATAAATAAATAAAATGAATAAATTAAATAAATAAATAGTTATATAAATAAATAAATAAATAAAATGAATAAATTAAATAAATAAATAAATAGACAGTTGGATGTCGCTAAAAGGAGTTCTTTTTTTATTAGCCCCTTTTTTAAGTGACCATTTTCAAGGATAAAATAAAATTGCCATGCATTGATTTGGACGTTACATCTCGTGTACAATTATAAATTCTCTGATAAATAATAAAGTTAATTAAATTGTAAACATAATATTTGTTTTAGATAATCTTGATCAATAATCAATAGGAACCATCCATGTTGCACGACTGATCATTCACACATATAAAAAAATTAGGGAATTTACAATAAGGGCCCAAAAACGAAAATAATTACAAATAAGGGCCCAAAATGAAAATAATTACAGATAGAGGCCTGATATTTGAAAATTATTACAAATA